GTTTGTTTGTTTTGTTTGTTTGTTTGTTTGTTTGTTTGTTTGTTTGTTTGTTTGTTTGTTTGTTTGTTTGTTTGTTTGTTTGTTTGTTTGTTTGTTTGTTTGTTTGTTTGTTTGTTTGTTTGTTTGTTTGTTTGTTTGTTTGTTTGTTTGTTTGTTTGTTTGTTTGTCTATGCTTTATAAAAGTTTGTTTGTTTGTTTGTTTGTTTGTTAGTCTGCAAATACGTCTTGTTTGTTTTACCAGATTGTATGAAACGCGCGGATGTTATATTTAAAACATATTTTAGAAAAGAATAGGTCATCCGTCGGTCCGTCCGTATCCGCGTTTTACCCTAACATCTGTCAAGGTCAAACACTTCACATTTATAAAATTTGAATATATAAGTTTCCGCTCTGCAGTAATTGAAATTGAACTATTAACCACCCCTCCCCCCCTGTCGAGGACCTCTGCTTTGGGTGATTTTTACCCCTATGGAGAGAAAAAAAATATGTGAAATTGACCCCTCTGGAAGAGACTTGAACCCAAGTGCATTTTTGCATTCTAATCCCTCTGCAAACAGCATTTTTTCTCCCATTTTCCCCAAGTATCCGTCTGGAACAAATGACTATTGAATTAGCCCGGGCGGGGGAGAGGGGGTATTAAATGTAATAGCCTATTTTGAGTGTTGTCGCAATTTGCAAATTCCAATACAGAACTGAGAAATATTTTTAGAATATCTAAATATGATATGTCACAGTTAACCGCGCTAACGCAGACTCGTCCCCAGTCGTTATTTGAATTTCAATTTTATATATAAGGACGAATATGTATATATATATATATATATATATATATATATATATATATATATATATATATATATATATATATATATATATATATATATATATATATAGATCAGTACCAAATGTGGACGCGCGCAAGGGGAAAAGGGAAGGCGAGGGAAAAAATAACGACTGGCAGATTACAGAGACACAATGGCGGACAATTTCACAACAAAACAGGACAGACCTTATCACAGAGCGTTCTTAGATAATAAACTTCCTTGTCCGCATGAGGAATGTGAGGACAACGCGCGCACACTGCTATGCTCAAGATGGTTTAGACCATCATTACAGAACAATACATAAACATCCTGTTACTTCAGCTGACATTAAAAAGGCAAAAAGTCTTATGGTGGAGAAGCATTCGAATGAAACATTGTTATGTTTGAAAAAGTTATCTGTTAACAACAAGTCGAAGGTATTTGTAAATCTAGAGTATTAAATGACTTTAATCGGAGCCAGTTAACCATGCGTAGGTAAAGATTTATATTCTTTAATATTTGCATTCTTTAATTTTTGTTCCAGATTGGACAGGCAAATGAATCTGTCAATTATGTATCCTCAGACTTTGAAGTTACCTTTGAGGATATTCTGTTGACACTACATTGCAGAAATGCTCAAGATGCAGCAAAATTGTTTGGCGTATATCTTTATCACAGAGGTTTATTGTGTTCTTATGAGAAAGGAAGTAATCCTAAAATAGTTTCAGTGATGTCAGTGGATATGAATGTAAAGTTTAATACCTGGTACCACAAGAAGTCAGATGGATCATGTGAAATCATTGTTGAAGCAATTTATAAAAAAATGTTATGTGGTTATTGCAAAGTGTTTCCATAGGCATAGCCTACCGAATGGAAGATGGCTGTGAAACTCATTAGAATAACAGTATAACTCATTATGATGTTAGTCAACGGTTATTTATAGATCTGGTCGTTTCACTGTCACGTGTGTATTGTATTTTTACCAAATCCACCAATAGCAATTTCAAGTTTGCCTATTGTTCGAGTCATGGATAGGTGACTTTCCTAAAACATTGCTATGGCATAAAAAAATTGCTGTGGTTCCGGTTTCATATCGCGAAAAAATTAGGGTCAGTAGGTCAGAAATAATATTTTTTTTAAATATTTTTTTCATGTTTTTTCTTCTCAATAATTAGTGTGACAACAGACGCCATTTTGGCAGCAGCCAGCGACCACCCGGAGAAAATAGGGTCCACAATCGTGTTGAAAAAATAATAGGGTTGGCAGCAAAAAATAGGGTCGGTCAGGAACC